GAGCCGGTGATGTCACTAGGTGGTAGGAGGTGAGCGAGTATTAGGTTACTCTCTAGGTGGGAACAGGGGCATGCTGGGAAGAAGGGTTTGTTCTTTGGTGGGAGCAACCATCTTGACGTGACATCACACAGGGGAAGGGGCAAGGCACCATAGGAAGAGGACAGCTACTATACATAATAGCTGCTGAGGTGGTGGGAGATCTATCAGAGGCCAAAGGTTCTTTAAAAAGCATTTTCTTTACATTGAAGTAAAACCAACACAACATAAAATTAACCATTTTATAGTGAACAATTCGTAATTTTGGCATAATTTCTTTACACATATTAACAAACACAAGAAAGTTATACAACTGCCTCTCAAAAATACAGAAATCCCCACAGTCCAATATTAATAGTACTGATACCATATGGTGGATCCAACAGATAGATTCCAAGCTCTTGTATACAGCTAGCAAAGAATACAAAGTATACCAAAGTATACATCCACTGGTAAAAGAAAATGTAGCTAAATTTATTGAAGAGAATGGGAACATGTGCTAAGACAGGCATGATCAGAAAAGTGGTGTTGGGATGACATGGAAACAAAAAGCCCAGCACACAGATAAACTGGGAATTCGGATTTTAAAAGATATATACCCAAGGCCAAATGTCTGTCATCAGATTTGTGGATAAGATTGACAGGATTGATTGACAGGATACTGAGTCATTTTCAGGGGCATTCAACATGTGTGCATGTCCAGATTCATACTGATTAAATTATATACATGACATGCAGTCCATATCTGTGAGTCTTTAAGGAAGTTCAAGTGGGAAAAAGGTTACTGAAGGTCAAGCCATGAGTTCTAACATGCATGTTCTCTGGCCTAGATCTTAGAGATTTCCTTGGTCTTTGTTATTTTATTTCAGCTTCTCTTAGAACAATGGAAGGAGCATTGGCCCTGGAGCGTTGCCCCAAATTCAAGTGGGTGGAAGGGAGTGGTCTCCCAGCCCCAATTTTGTTATCTGTACTAGAACCAATGGGAGAGTTTAAAAGAACATGAGACAAATCAGCATATAAAGAAATATAGTTATATTCCAATAGTGCTTTTTTTTTACAGTAATTACTAAAGAATAGGTGAAAATTGCAAAATATGTTTTATATTCCAAAATACTGACACTCCTGCCAATGAGCTTGTTCACATTTTAAATCATTTTCAGATCTTATTTTTATTTATACTATTTCAAAAGGAGAAAGGTTTCCCATAAGAGCAACTTTCCAATAATTTACATTATACAGGATTCTATTAGAGATGTACAGTCATACTATCTGAATTATTTAGTTGAAAAAAAACTAAGTTGGTACTTTTGGAGTTGCTACTTTTTGATGATAATCATAATTGTGATAACATAGATGAAAATAATAACTGATTGTAGTAAAGATTTTTTTCTCATTTCTTTATTTAGTAATTCAGAAGTACAGTGGTACCTCCATTCATGGACTTAATTTGTTCTATGGTTCTAGAAAAGATGGCTATGTTATGTTCATGCAGGAAAGATGGACACAGTCATGTTAATCAGCCGATGCAGAGTTTACAAACAAAAACAAAATTTTGCTAAACATTTAAAAGCATTTGTGCACCAAGGTATCACCGTGCTTTTTATCTTCTACCCATGTCTGTTATGTTGGAAGTTGAAGAACAAATCCCAAAACACATAGTATGTACTCCAGGGGCACTTTCTGAGAACAAGAAATGATTCTGAAAGAGCCAGAAATTAAGATTCCCTTGAAGCACCAAGGCCTTGTGGCTTATTCCTGGAAAATATTAAGTCAATCTTAAAACAAAAACCCAAGCTTGGGTCCCCTAAACTCCACATCTAGGATTCTATTCACTGTAACAATATTAACTTCCCCATGCAGTTGACAAGAAATCACAGCCCTTCATCCTGTTTCTCAGCTAAGATTAAAGTTTGCTAAACTGTCAACACTTTCATTTCCTTACTTTCATTGACCTCAAATACCACTCTTTTTGTTGTTGTTGTTTTGTCATCCTTATGATCTCAAATAATTTTCTCCTCCATCTCTTCACCCTGACAGCAGCCTCTCACACATACTGAAGGAGGGAATATTACAGGGTTGGTCATAAGCATTTCCCACATGAATCCATACACAGTTGTGAGCTGTGTTTTCCTGGGTAGCTGTGCTACTGATTTGAAACCTGGTAAAACAAAGTACAATGATGTAATTAGAACAACAGAAGGAACACTCGTTACACAGAACTAAAATAAAACTATCAGTGAAAAGAATTTTGAAGTGTCTATATTAGTGGAAAAGGAATCTGAAGTTAGATTGTATTGATTCACAAGTGCTAATAGAATTGACGCCATAATTGAGGCAGAAACATGACTCAGTATTTTCCAGGAAATACCATTACTTGCATAAAATTAAATTAAACCCCTGGCAGAGAAGAAAACCCATCGAATATTCTATCAAAAGTTGTTAATTTACCTTCAGTCTATTACTTAGATGTTTATTTATCAAATCAAGCAATAGTTTAGTGAAATTACTACTGGGTATACTTAATGAGTCAACCAAATAGAAGAGTTAATGCTGAAGGGAATCTAGAACTAAAGGAAGAATCTGAGATGTCAAGACCATTTAAAGGCAGGACAAACAATCTTGTATGTTTTAATGCATCCTGAAGGCAGAATTTTATTATAGTACCTGATTGAAATTTATAATAATTATTACTATGGGTAAATGGAAGCATGGTCCTGTTCTATTTCCTTTTAGTCTCCTAGAGGAGTCACATTAATTAGGCTCAAAGAATGTCACTGAGCCCCTGTGCAAAAATTACAATCTGGAACGCCTCACTTTGGATATCTATCTGTTCTTGATCCTGAGGTTGGGAAAATTGAGAGAATCTACTTTAGAAGTGACTAAGACTAAGATCAAGTACTTTGATCCAGGCCTTATGGAGAACTCTGATCAGAGGGCTCTAAATATTTTCCCTGACATTCAAGTAGCTAGATTAAACTACTATCACCCAGGAAACCAAGAATTAATAATATATTTTTGGCAGTTAATTTGATTGCCAACTGTTTGGGTTTGAGAGCTACCTAGGGAATTAGTGAAACATTCCGGGTGCATCTGGGCATATCACAGCGCTGTGACTTGGGCCCTATATCTGGTCTCTGGCACCTTTCTCTCTGATTCTCCTCCAATCTCTGTTTCCTGACTGCCATGAAGTAAGCAGCTTTGTTCTACCACACTTTGTATCATGATGTTTCTGCCTTGGGGTCAACTGACCACGAACTGTAGTTGTGGATGTCAGGTATTTTACGACAGCTGACCAACACAATATCAAAATGTTAATTTAAGCCTACACTTGTGGTTATATAGAATTCCCTACTTGCACATTTAATAGTACAGCAAAGGCAATTCAAGATAACTAAACTACAGAAAAATAGGAAGGAGGTCTTGTAGATGGTTAAAATTCACTTTGTTTGAGTTAGTAGTAGTTAAATGGTGTTAATGATCAAATATGATCATTCTTAGTGATTGTATTTTGTACTTTTCACACTAAAAAGTACCTGCCAGGAGAAAATGCCAAGCTACTCCATGAACTTCCAATGAATTCTACTGGTATTTTAAGATACAATGCTCAACAGATAGTAGAAATAATCAGATATAAAAGAAAACAAACCAATATGGATGAAGGATAGGAGAAAATATAACAGAAATAATTGTCAGACATATGTATGAAAGTTTTAGGATATTCTAGGAGTTAAAAAGCAATATTGAGAGTATAGGAAGAAAAATGGGAATTATAAATGATGTTAGGGTAGGTATGGGAAAAACAGCTAAAATTACAGAACTAAAAAAATCACTCAAAATATTAAAAAATTAATGGAGAATGTTAAGAGAAAATTATCCAGTGAGGAAGAAAAACAGGTGTATCACAAGATATATGAGAAGTAAAATCAAAGATCAAAATAAAAAGAGAAGAGAATGAAAAATACAAGAGAAATCAAAAGCAACAGATGAGTAAATGAGTCTATAATGAATGTAACTGGAATTCCAGAAGAAAAGATTTAGTGAAGAAGCAAAATTTGAACCAAGTATGGTTGAGAATTTTCTGAAACTGAGAAAAAATATCAAATTTTAAACATATATTAGCTTCAAACAGGATTTTTCAAAATCAGTAAAAACCAGACAAGAGTAGGATAGCATCTTCAAATAGCTGAGACAAGAACATACAAGCCTCTAATCCTAAACTCACTGAAAATGTTTTCTACAAAAGTTAAATTGACATATATTTTGTTTGTTTGTTTGTTTGTTGTGGTACTAAGGATTGAACCCAGGGCCTTCACACTGAGCCACATACCCCACCTTGAAAAAACAACAAAAAAAACCCACAACTTTTTGAGACAAGGTCTCACTCAAGTCACTAATTTTCATAGGCTGGGCTTGAACTTGCAATCCTCCTACTCAGCCTCCCAGAGTGCAGGGATTAAAGGTGTGTGCCAACACAAATAATCCAACTGCAATAGATGTTCTCTAGAAGAAATACTAAAGCATGTTCTTCAAATTTAAGACAAATGACTTGAAATGTAAGGTAGAAAAGTTAGGAAGTAATAAGGAACAATAAAAAAATGTGTGAGCAGATGTAAATGAACATTGCATAGACACACACACACACACACACACACACACACACACACACAGAGCTATATATCTCCAGGGAAGCTATATTTTGTTGAATCAAAGAGGACACCAATTACAAAGTGTACCAGTGATTCAGTCTAATTCTGTGAAATGAAATTTGTCCAAGATGAGGAATATAAGACACTGCAGAATGTAAAAATCAAGGATTATTTTATTGCAGGAGTAAATGAAAAATAAAACTGCAGAACAGAAAAGAATAAGGAAATGTTGATCCCTCAGTCTTGCTACCAAGTGAAGATGGAAAGAAAAATGTAAGTCCCTTGAGAAGCTGGGATGACAAACTAATATTCAGAGAGTTCTTCTTTAAACTCTACAAGAATCCACGTGGGGCATTTAATTTAGAGTAGCTGCAGTTATATGTGGCCCCTGTTTGGCAGAAGCAAATGCTAATGACAGAGCTCAACTTCAGTTCTTCTACAGTGATCACAAAAGGCCATCGTAAGACATACAATGTACAGATTTTAAACTGTGAAAATGGTGTATTTAATAGCCTTAAAATACACATATATAATAACAAAAGAACTGGGGAGGGGCTAAACGGAATGTTCTAAGAATTTTACATTGATCAGGAAAAACAATAACTCCAGTTGATATTAGGCTTTGAAATACAAAAAAAATAGACTTTGATAAGTGAAAAATATATGCTATGATTACCAAAGAAGCTACTACATAATTAGCAAAAGAACTTCAAATAAAGAGAAGAAAGTAAAATTTAATAAAAAGCATTAAATCAGTTCCCAAAAAAAGAAAGAAAATGTAACACTGAATGGGGAAACAATTCTAAATCTACATGTTCCTAATAATATAGTTTCAATATATCATATAAAATGTTTACAGAACAATTCTCTTGTGTGGTAGAAGAAAATACATAAAATGACAGAAATACTGTCAAATGCAGTATGTTCTTTGATCACAGAGATTACCTTGTAATTATAATGAAAATCAGAAATTATTTTAAACTTAATAAGAATGAAAATATATTAAAATTATATAGTCTTAACTGTGGGAAAAGAAAGCCTGAAGTTCACGAATCAAGCATCCAACACAAGAAGTTAAAGAATAGCAAATTGAACACACACAAAAATTAGATGAAAGGAAGTAATAAAGATGAGAACCAAAGTAATGAAAGAAATGATAAAAAAAAAATCAGCAAAGTCAGAAGTTGTGGGGTTTTATTGAAGGGGATTAATTAAATTGAACTATATGCCTATTGAAATTAAGGAGAAAAAAGAAATAGATACACACACATGCTGGCATACACATCAATGATAGGAACTTCAAAGGAGTTTATAATTTTATATTCTCTGGATAGTAACAAGAAAACAAATGACAATTTCAGTGAGAAAGACTTCAACACACAATGAGGATAAACTCATGATCATTACAAATGTGAATATGTTTTGAAAACTTTATACAATGAGAGATATTGTTTTTAGCTTAATGATAATAGCTTCACACATTATGTGTAAGACACCATGCTAATGATTTTACTTTTACACTTTTTATCTCCTAATTCTAAGTGGTAGGTACTCTTTACATTCTCATTTATGGGTACAGAAAGTGAGACTCAAGAGAAGTAAAATGACTTGCTCAGTGTCACACAGTGAGTGGGCCGAAGCCCATGTTCTTAATCCCCTGGGCTACACTGAGTCTGCTTCTGCTTTGAAAAATTTGAAACAAATTCCAGATGCCCCCTGGACGACAGCCAAAGCGATGCCCAAGTCAATAGTACTAATGACTATCCTTCAACTCTATTGTCCTCTTTCACCCTCTTCTCCACCCCACCCACCACCTCTCATCCCTGAGTCTTTCTTTCCCTTTTTCTCATTTGGTCAGCAAATCAGGTTCTTAACCACATGTCGTGCTTTTATCTCTCTGAGAAAGTTTTGTCTTTGCAGGTACTTACAAGTTATAAGAGAAAGTTGATCCATCATCCCAGAGCCATAATTCCTCAGTCTGATTGCGAGAAAGCCCAATCCAGAAAGAATGAATAGCATAGGAAGACATTTGTTCTACTATAAAATCCTGTAGTGAAACAAAATACAAATACACATCAGAGAGAGAGAATGAGAAATGTTATCATAGACATAGAAAAAGAAAAAAAAAGACAACTGACTGTATACCTTGGTGAACAATGCATGTGTAAACTGAAAATAACCTAGAGAGCACTAAAAAGTAATTGAATGTCATTGTCATTTAATTTTCCCGCAAAGCATAGATTGATAATATCAATTATAAAAAGACTTATAATATCCATGTGCTGCCACTATTCAATGTACCCAACAAAATCCAAAGATGATAGGGTCTCTGGGTAGATTTTGTGGTTGATAGGCCACTATTTAATTCACATTAAAAATATAAATTAATGCTAACCTTTCCCAGAAATGCCTTTCTGAATTGGTTAGCACCTTAAAATTAATTTAGTCTTACACATGTTTTATAAATAACCTGGATTTCAATGAAGACATTTGAATTGTTGTCCAATTTAAGATGATGTAATGTAACTATAGGCTTGTCTAAAGGCCACTCAGATTTCTAGAAATCTGCCAAATATCTGCCTTTGCCAAATATTCACTTTCATTAACATTAGTGTGAACTGCAAATATTTGGTATGACATTACAGAAACAAAAACTGGAGAGCAGTGAATGTAGATGTAGAAGTAACAAATTAGTTCAGATTTATAATACGAAGTGTTTCATATTATATGTTTCCTTTCCATAGTTTATCAGAGGTCTACCTTTCATTCATGAGGTATCGTAAGTCCCATTTTTTCTGAAAAATTTCTTATGATCATAGGGATATCTCTATACTCTTATATTATTGGTGAGTAATCAATATTTAATTTTTAACAACTTTTGCTTTTTTAAACAAATTTTTATGTAAATCCAGTAATAGCAAGTTTACCTTTTAAACCTTTTGCTTTTCCCAGTATCTTGAAAGTACAAATGATTTATAAATTTATATCATCACTGCTATTGTTTTCCTTCATAATTCTGATGACAAAGGAGAAATTTTTCCATTTTATTCCTCCAAATTTAAAAATTAAAATACAAATCATATGATGGCCGGGGATTTAGCTCAGTGGTTCTGGTGCCTGCCTCGCAAGCACAAGGTCCTGAGTTCGATCCCCAGTACCAAAAAAAAAAAAAAATCAACAACAATTAATAGAAGCCTTATTATTGTAGTAAATATGGAGTGTATATGAAAGGCTTTAAAGTGAAATATTATTATTTTTAATTAATTATATTCATTAAATATATTATGCCCTTGAAATGTTTAATATTTGCCAATATTGCAGTTATGGAGAACACTGAAAATAATTTTCTCTTAGGGAGAACTATATTACCTGGAATCTCCTCTATTTTACTAGTCAATACAAGACCAGAGTCTACACTTCAGATACTCTACCTGAAGTCTACACTTACGAATTCTTTTAAGGTGTCTATCTTCAGGAGATGAGAGCCCAGCTGGGAACATCTTCTCTTACTTCCATACCAGGAATCTAATGAAATGGCCAAGAGGTAACAGCTTTTCTCATGCACGATCCAATTAGGAGGACAATTGCTGGGCACGGCCCCTGGAAATAAAAGATAATAGCCATGAAGTTCATCATATATTAATTCCCTCTTTTGGAGCAAGCACTATTCATCTCGTGAACATTTAATAAATAATCCATGAGTTGTCATTATATATTTTATTTTCAGTTCAAACTATAAGGATATTCTTTTACAGATTAATTTAAATCCCCTTGATCTTTTAAAATTTAAAATTTATTTGAGTAATTCTAGTGTTTTATACAGGTAATAGCCTTTCCTTTTTGACTTGTCTTCCATTACATCAAATTCAGCCCAGAACTCTCTCTATTTCAACTCCCTAAAATAAATACACTCAAAATCAGTATTCAGGGTAATTAGTACAGTAATTTGATGATACTTAAGTTATTTTATGATAAGAGACACATTGTAAGTCATGGCATTCCAAAGATGTAAGCCTAAAGGCAGCTGGTTATATTTTAGAGTACCTCTGCTACGTATTGTTAGCTACTTAATTAAAATGTGAGGACATGTGAAACCAGAGATGAGAAATTGAAGTGCAAATATTTTCTTAAGCAATTATGATGTGATCAGAAGTGTATATATACAAAATTGTAATTAAATCAATGAAATTATGTGATTAAAGTTAAACACATTTAATCGGAGTTTTCAGGAATATATTAGGTCTATCTCTTTTGTATGTTTTTAATTCAGTACGTTAGTTCTTGCCAACCTTTTTACTTCTTTCCTTTTCCTTTACTGTTATGGTTTGTGTTGACATGCCCCCGAAGCCTCATGCGGATGAGGTGGGACTTTCTTCTTCAGAGGTAGTCGAATCTGGAATGTGCGATCCTGGGGTTAAGGGTATGTGATTGCTAAACCACTACATGTGAGTGATTAGTTTGGCACCGCCCTAATCCCAGCAGTCTGCATAAAATAAAAGGGGCAGAAAAATGCTGTTAAGCTCTCCCCTTACCTTTGTAACCTTGTGTGCACCATGTTGTTTCTGCTCTGCGATGCCTGTTTGTCATCCCTCCCTTAGAATCGGCCCATTATGGACTGAAACCTCTATGAACTGTAAGCCAAATAAACCGCTTCCCCTCTAAATTTTGATGTATTTTTGTCTCAGAAACCAGAGAGAAGTGACTAACAAACCTACCATTCTTCTTTTCTCCTGTCTTATTTATTATTCTAACTGTATTATTTAAAACACATCAGTTCCCTAAGGAGAAAGAGTATTTTTTGATCCTGTGCATCAAATTGTATAATCTCTTGTAAATCTATGAATCTAACTAGTCATAAATGGGTTACTGGGCTGGGGATTTAGCTCAGTGGTTTCACCGCCTGCCTTGTAAGCGCAAGGACCTGAGTTCGATCCCCGGTACCAAAAAAGGGAAAAAAAAAAGAAAGAAAGAAACATAAATGGGTTACTGATTTTTTAAAAATCCAACATCCTACCCACAAGCAAGGTATGTCTTTCCATTTTCTGATATCCTCTTCAATCTTCTTTTTCAGAGTACTGTAGTTTTCATGTAAAGATCTTTTACTTCCTTTGTTAGATTGATTCCCAAGTATTTCATTTTTTATGCTATTGTGAAAGATGTGACTTCCCTAATTTCTCTCTCAGTGAGTTTGTTATTTGCTTGGTTTCTTTATTGTTGTTGTTTTTTCTGGTACTGGGGATAGAACTCAGGATCTTCTGCTTGTCCGGCAGGCATGGCACCAGTGAGCTAAATCCTCGGCCCTAGGAATGCTATTAATTTTTGAGTGTTGACTTTCTATCCAGCTACACTACTGAATTTGGTTATTAAATATAGAAATCTTTTGGTGGAATTTTTGGAGTCTTCTACATAGAGTATCATGTCATTGGCAAATAATGACAATTTAACTTCTTCCTTTCCTATCTTTATTCCTTTTATTCCTTTCTCTTATCTGATTGCTCTGGCTAATGTTTCCAGAACTTTATTGAATAGGAGTAGTGGTAGTGGACATCCTTGTCTTGTTCCTAATTTTCTTTTTTTTGTTGTTCCTAATTTTCAAGTGAAAGCTTTCAGCTTTTGATAATTTAGTATGATGTTGGATGTTGGTTTTTCATAGATGGCTTTTAATCATTATAATTAAGGAGAGGAAGAAGGGTTAAAGGAGAATGGGGAAAAAAAGAATCAAGATAAATCATGTACAGGTACAAATTCTCTATGATGAATGTGATCATTATGTACATCTAAATTGTACCAATAAACTTAATTAATTTAAAAAAACCAATTTACTCCTTTAAAAAATAATCCAACTTATACATATTCAGTCATATGCATGATGTTTTACAAAATCACTTTATATATGACAGAAACACATTAAACTAAGATAATACTGATGAATGTTCTTATACTGAATCATGATCACTGGATCTAAGGATACTCTTTTCAATCCCCTACCCCAGGACTTAGCACCAAGGAATTAATCCTGTTGAATGAAGGATTTCATTACACCTTTAACTCTACCCTTGCCTGTGGTTTTGAGAGCTTTGGTAGAAACCACATTCTCTTCTAAAGATGATTTTGTGGGTTGAGTTTGGTGCTCTTTGTTTCTTGACAGAGAGTTGTCTTTCTCCAGTGGGTTGCTCCTTGAATTGGATCGCCAAAATGCTTTACATACCAGAAAACAATAATAGTGACAAAAAGAAAAATCAGTCACTTTACCAAGTTTGAAGACTAAAATTCTAAAGCCTATTTGTTAAATGAAATATGAAGGGATACATGTTTGATTAGTAATTAATAGAAGATAAATTGGTGGTGGAAATGTAAAGAGATTGACAACAGATGGAAAGAAGTAACTTCTATAAAGGAGTCATGAAAAACAAAAATAAAGTAGATAAAGCAAATGAGGAAGATAAGAGGCAAATAACATAATCAATTAGAACCATGAAGATTTGAAATAGTACTACTTTTATTTCTTCTATTATTTAAAAAAGTAAGAGTTCCTTGCAAAGCTGCTTGGCATTTATAATACAAAGAGTACACAATAAACATTTGTTTAATAAAGGAATGTTGGGTCGGGGATTTAGCTCAGTGGTTTCGCCACCTGCTGCTCAAGCGCAAGTACCCGAGTTCAATCCCTGGTACCAAAGAAAAAAGGAATGTCATGAAGACTTTCTGACGTCTCAGTAGTACTTTATTGAGTACTATTGCAGGAGATATAAAATCTAAGAAAATCCATTCATCCATCACAAAATGTCTACTTAGCAAGTGCCTTGGGCAATTCCTAGTATATTAAAAAGAGTTTATGCTAATGATCATATAATATAAAATAATATAGCATAAAATAATATAAAATAATTTCTATAATTCATTAGACTCATACAAATAGCTTATAGTCCCTCTAGCAAATGTACTTCATTGGCATCATATCATATTTCTTTTTCCAGCTCCACAGTTTTCCTTCCATTAATTTATCATTCAAAAACTCCACTCTTGAAGCCAAACATTTAAGGAGGTGAAAAGAAAAATATAGTTAGAAATATGAGTTTTTTACACAGATTATCTAAATTTCTCATCCTGTTCTACCAGTAAGCAGCAGATGACCCTAAATAAAATGACCCCTCAGTCTCTCACCTCTAAGTGAAATGGATTTAATAGCACCAGCTCAATAAATAAGATTAATATACAGAATAAATTAGTTCCTTCATGTCAAGCCCTTGAAAGTGAGCCCAGCACACATGAATGCTTATGAAATGTCTATAGCTGTTATTAATCTCCCCAAATACTCACCCAAGGAACTGAGCACCACAGCTATCACTAGTATCACCAGGCATAAGATTCCCAAAATCATAGCGATGAGCTTCCAAGGAGGAGATGCAACAGGAGATCCTGAGCAGCCAGAGGGAGAAGAAATTCATTGAGAAAAGCTAATCAGGACCACAGAGCACTTTAAGCACACAGTGGGCTAAAATTCTGAAGGGATTCATTCATTGCTGAGCTCTAGATAATCTAGTCATTGAGGATTGGTCTCTATTTTTTCCCACCTTCAAGATACCTCTTCTTCAGTTGCTGGAATTGTAATGTTAGCGCATTGCCTAGTTATTTGTTCTTTCTGATTTCAATTCCACATTTTTTTGTAGGCAATATAGATATAATTCATAAGATAGAATAAGGGCAAGAATGGAAGGAAAGGTAGGTTGAAATTCTTACATTCTTCCCAGGAAGTTGTTTCGTGTCATCATGAGCCACCTGAAAAGAATCCCTAGGTTGGACAAAAACAACACTCCTCTGTCCTCGCCCTAGTTAATGGTTGATACCTAAACTACATATAGAACAGTACTACAGGGATGGCTGAAACTGCAAATAGAGGGGCAATGAAAAAGCTGAGTCCATCAACTTTTCCAGGACTACTTTCAGAGACAGACACAGTAACTTGAAGTATACATATTTTTAAGCCAGGCATGGTAATGCACACCTATAATCCCAGCATCCTGAGAGGCTGAGGTCTTGGGCTGAGGATGTAGCTCAGTGGCACAGCACCTGCCTGGCAAGCAAGAGGCATTGAGTTCGATTCCTGGTACCAGTAAAAAAACTCAATTCCACATTTGATGTCAATTGGTCTTAATGCTTCTCAGATCCCTGAAACCCCACTCATTCTTAGAGAAAACAGCTTCCTATACGGAGAAATAGCACTGACTCTCAAGGATAAGCTTCCCCCTTGCATTTATTTGGTGAATGACTTGACAAATTTTTTCTGGGGTTTTTTATTTCTCTTTTTTAATTTTGTGAAACTGAGGTAATATCTCAGAGATTTTTGTGATAAATAAGTGAGCTAACACATGTAGAAGCACCTTCTTTAGAATTATAAGCATGTTGTAGATTACTTCCTGATTACATACTAATAGACACTACTTCTTCCTTCACCTTTTTGTCTACTCTTCTTAAATCAAGTTGCCCAAGAAAAGAATTGCATAAGTGGTGATAAGAGGAAAATAATTGTGTAATGTGAGAAGCAAAAAGCAGAAGAAACCAAATCCTGATGTCAAAACCTGTGAATCATCTCTCTTGTATAGATAATGAGAAACTAATTTTTGTATTAACATTACCATATCAAGAACATGGCTCAGTTTTTCACTGTGAATAAACAGAGCATATCATAGAATTGTCAAATAGGAGGGAGACTTGCAGTGGGGACTACATCACTCATTCTGTGAAGAGAAAGATCTTTTGAAGTCCTTCTGTCTTTCTCGTTTACATTTTGTTTAAAACTCATGTTAAGACTTGTGTTTAAGACTCCTTGTTAATGCGACATTTTCATCTAATATATATGCTTCTCTTCACTGGATAACAAGAACTTCTTATAATCAACAACAACAAAAAATCCAAATCAATCTCTTACTACAAAAACACATCAAACTTGAACTTCTAAACCCTGATTTCTTGACACCCTTTGATCTTTAACACAAAAATCCTTTTTTCGCCTATCTCCCATTGTTTCAGTCTTCTAATTTTTTTTTTTTTTAGACAGGATCTCCCTGTGTAATTCAGGCTGGCCTTGAACTTGCTATGTAGCTAGGCTGGCCTTGAATTCATAGCGGTATTCCTGCCTTAGTCTCCCAAATGCTAGGATTACTGGCATGCACCATCACACCTAACTCAGTCTTCAGATTCTTATTTCCTAATTCATGTTGTTTTTCATATATACTTGCTAAAATTTTGAGGATATCTCTCCTGCACTTGACTCTTTCTACCAAACAAGCAAAGAATCCCTCTGTTGAAAGAATTTCAACTTTGACTTTCTTCACACATATTACCAACTCCTTACTACTGATGAATTCACTATTTATAGAAAAATTGCATTGGCTATCATGAAGCATAATTAATTTAGATAATAGTAATGAATCACTGAATAGTTTCCATGAAAAGAGACTTAGTGCATATTCAAATAATCTGCAGTGACTGTTGCAAAGCCTGTACACACAAATCCTGAGTCTATCATACTTTCTTTTCTGTTAGTATTTTACTTGATGAGAACAAGAGTGGTAAAGGCAGAAAAAAATACCTTTCTTTGAACCCACAGGTCTTCTGGTGGCACCTCGAGAGTGAAAGTTTAATTTAGTATACCCATCTTCATCCACATCTAAAGGATATTCCATTGTTCTGCGGAGCTCTAAATAGACATACCACTTGAGTTCACTTTCCTTTTTCTCCCTAAAATGATTGCCAGTGGAGAAAAGAGGAATATGAATCAAATCATGTGGGATAAGCTTTACTGAAGTTCAACAAGTTGAGCTTAAGTAGTCCAAGCAGAGACCCAAAGCAGGAAACGAAAACGCTGTAGTAATTTCCTACTTATACCTTTAGATCCTGTTTTTTTTTGTTGTTTTTTTTTTTTTTTTTTTGGTACCGGGGATCGAACTCGGGTCCTTGCCCTTGTGCAGCAGGCAGCTAAACCACTGAGCTAAATCCCCAGCCCCTAGATCCTGTTTTTGAGACTGAACTACTAAGAAATTTCACTGGCTTCACAGTAGGACATTACTTAAGACTAAATGGGAAACAAATACATAGGGTAACGCCTTATACTGCCTTTGTTGTTCTCACAACTGAATTTGGCATGAGTATTTGACTTGACCTGATGTAGAAAAGAAGAAATAAAGATAGGTAGAAAAGAGACAAGAAAAATCAGAATATTAAAATTGTACTTTTAAGGAAAATTGTAGCTTCAGGACACAAAAGTTACTCAAGTCTTTTTCCCTTCCAGAAAATTCACTCAAAAAAATTCCTAAGGGTCTTAAAGACAAAGAAGCCTGCAAACTGGGCTCTGGGCTCATATTTTACACAGATAAATCATGTTCTCTTTCATAGACCTCCATCTTCAAAGAGGCAGCAGTAGCAGTGAGTGATGTATTTCAACTTCAAATGCATGCAAATGTGTTTGTATTCTAACATAACCCACCAGGTGGTAGCCTGACAGACAATAGGAATATATATCCTAGATCATCCATCTTGAAGACATTCCAAGATCCCATGCATATTCCCAGCTCCAGATCATAATGTGTCCCTCTCATGCATGGACACACTCTGTTTCTTTAAGTGTGTAGTTTTAAATTTCTTCCTATGTCTTCTGAAAATTCTTTTTCTGTGATGGGAGGCAGGAAACCTACAATTTAATTCTATGCACAGGGTGGACTAAGTTGCTTATTACCACTTTGGGAACCTCATAGGACCCTATCCTAGGCCAATCTAAACTTTCAACAATTTTGAGGTAAAATATTCTTTTTGGGGGGGGGAGGGTACTGGGGATTGAGTCCAGAGCCTTTGGAATGATCTATATTCCCAACCCTTTCAAAAAAATTTTTGAGACAGGAGCTTGTTAAGTTGCCCAGGCTGGACTTGAATTTGTGATCCTCCTTCCTCAGCCTTCTGGAGTGCTGGGATTACATGTATGAGACACCAGGCCTGACCTTATGAAACAATTTTGTTGAGTTCACAATCACTTTGCTATAACTGCATTTATCCATGTATAGCTTAATTCAGTAAACGCTTATTAAATGTTCAGCTTTCCAATTAGCAAGAGCTGGAAGTGAAAAGAAAAATGGGATCTATGAGACTGTTCATTGCCCAATGAAGGAAACATGTACATAAGGATAAGAAGGATGCCATAAAGAGGGATATTGTTATAATAACAGAGAGAACAAATAATTCTCTTCAGGATTTGTCAGGGATTAAGAATACAAACTAATAATTATTTATTGAACAATTGTAAGAAGGAGTTAGAAGATGGGCCTTCAGATACCCAGTGAGTAACTAAAAGTAAGATGAAGTTTGGTGTCTTTGTCTTCACTTTATATCTGTCTCTTTATCTTAAATCTTTAGGTCAGATCCCTGCTGGATTCTGCACTTGGCTTGTTAATCACTTAGGAATTGTCTGCCTAACCTGGTAATACCAGGTCTGATAGCCCTGTATTGTCTAGCTCATCTCATTCCCCTTCAAGACTGAGGACAAGAGTATATACAGTAATTTCCAAAATTTGTAGAGACATGCAATCGCCAGGTTTTATAAAGCTTAGTCAGATTCCTCAGAGTGAAGTGATGCCTAAAGTATACAGTCATTCTCCTAAATCTGCAGTCACCTTGGATTCCAGGAAAAGAATCTCACAGAACTTGCCATGTTGAAGCCACCCTCCAAACCTAGAAAGGCCCCCATCCCATTTACCAGAATTTGAGGTGAGCAGAATGGCAGAGGCATTTGACTATTGCTAAACCATTACTAAAGGCAAATATGAATGTGGTGGAGATAAGTTTTCATTTAGTAATACTGAGGTAGGATAAAAGATATAAGAGATAGGTAAAATAAGAGACAAGGAAATTGTCATGTAAAAGGGCTGAAAACCAAGACCAGACCAGGCCACAACAAGCCTTTATTAGGGGAATAGATCTGCCGGGCTGTCTCTGAACAGAGAAGAGACAAAAGCAATACGGCGGGGGCAGGGAGAGTCTTTTATAGGGACTGGGGTGGGGTTTGTAGGGGCTGAGGTGGGGTTGAGTGAGGTCGTGACTAGGGAATGGAGAAGCCTGTGACGTCACTAGGTGGTAGGAGGTGAGCGAGTATTAGGCTACTCTCTAGGCGGGAACAGGGGCATGTTGGGGAAAAGGGTTTGTTCTTTGATGGGAGCAACTATCTTGAGATGTCACACAGGGGAAGGGCCAGCTACTATACATAATAGCTGCTGAGGTAGTGGGAGACCTATCAGAAATCATAATTAAAATTGTACGTTTAAGAAGACTACAACTTTGGGGTTTCAGTCAAAGTCACCAAAGGCGAGCCCTATCATCATTCCCTTGGTTAAACTTAGATTCCTTTCCTTCCAGACCCATCACATCCAAAACTCCTCAGGAATAATAAATGTCCATAAATTGGCTTGATTGAAAAAATAAAGTGCAGGAACCTGATTCTAAAATAAAGGAGCAGATTGGGAGAATACAAATAATGTTTAAATTACTATACATACACCAGAAAGAAAAAGGGGGCCATACTTGTAAAATAAACTACTACCTTTCTGAGGATGGGACACCTTTTCCTGGGATTTTTAGCCCAAGAGAAGCACAAGTCTTCCCTATTCCAGGAAATAAGTTCCTCTTTCTCTTGAGGGCCCACACTCTATTTCTTTGAGTGTGTAACTTTTAATTTCTACCTAACAAAGCTTTAACTAATATGTCATAAAAATTCTTTTTCCAAACTTATTCTACAAGAAGGATGGGTTAGGTTCCTCATTTCAGTTTGGGAACTTCCTCAGAAACAGCCTGGTGACAATACTAATGCAATAGAAAAGAAGAATTCAACTTCCCTAAACTGTATGACTGAAGACCTCCTCCTCTTCCTCCTTCTCATTTGTGTTAGTTTTTTCTCATTGCTGAGACAAACTATCCAACACTCAAAGTTAAAAGGGAAGGGGTTTATTCGGCTTACAGTTCATAGAGGTTTCAGTCCATAATTGACTGGCTCCAAAGTTGGGATGCAAACAAACATTGCAGAGGAGAAACGACATGGCACACACAAGGCAGCAAAGGTAACAGGAGTGTTTAACAGCATCTTTCTGCCCCCTTTGATCTTATTCAGACTACCAGGATTAGGGCGGTGCCAAACTAATCACTCACGTGTAGTGGTTCAGTAACCCATAACCCCAGCATCACATATTCCAGATTCAACTACCTCTGAAGAAGAAAGTCCCATCTCATCCACATGAGGCTTTGGGGGCATCTCAACACAAAACGTAATATCGTTATTATTTTATTATTTGGTACTAGGAGTTGAACTTGGGGCTATTGCACTAAGCTACATCTCCAGCCCGTTTTTGTATTTTTTATTTTATTTTGGGGGTCTACTAAATCTCTAAACTGCCCACATTGGGCTCAAATTTGTGATCCTCTTATTGCAGCTTCCCAGAGTGCTGGGATCATAGTCGCCCCCTCACAACACTTGGAGACATTTTAAAGGCTAAGATGTACTAAGGCAAAGGTAGTAAGTGTTGTTAAAGGGAGTTAGTGTGACTAAGCACTTTCTCAGAGAAGAAACACACCTCTGCTATCTTTATGACAGGAAGCAATGGCACTAGGAGAAGCAATGCGCCCACCATCTCCCAAGTTTGCTCCTACCTTCTTACAGTGACAGGGAAGGAGAACAAGAATTATCTCCCAGAAAGTTTGCATTTCTTTGTACATATGGTCTGTTTAAGGACTACTTTTCATTTTAATGATGTCATTTAAAGTTCTAAATTGTGATGGAATCTCATTTATCAATTTTTTTCTTTTATACATCATGTTTTTTGTATCCTAGGTAGTTCTTACCTACCCTGAATTCA